GGCGAAATTTGCATTGGGTCCGAGGTACTTTGCTCAAAAGTGCCAGAATAATGCGTATAATCAATAGATTCAATTTCTATTGCACATTTAGGGCATTGCGGAAGATCTTTTACATAATCCTCAAGACAACGACGGTGAAATATGTGGCCACAGATAAGTGTCGTAAATGGTTTTTTAAATTCATACAAAAAAAGCTCTTCTTTACACCTTGAGCATGGATCTAGTTCTGGAATTTCAACATCTTTTGCAATAACATCCGGGGAGCTATTCTTAAGAATATTCAATGCGAGAGTTTTGAGACATGAAATATTTTGGGGGGTCGGGTCAGTAGACATATTCAAAAATAAAACTTTGCAGGATTGAAAGAATAAGTATACGTTATAGACAAATAAGTATTTGCAATTTTCTTTATACTTAGCTCGTTTTTATACATTAAACACCTTCACGACTAACAAACCTAATTTGCAGATTCTATTAAGCTAATTTCGGATTTGGCGATCTGTTCATTCACGAATTAATTAGTATGGGGAGGGATCGCTCGATCTTCGCTGGTCAAACACATGGATTTTATTAACTAAGACTTTTTATTTAATTTTTATATTTATTTATTATCGATCATAAAAAATAGATATATTTATTACATTAAGTATAACGATTTAGTTGGGTGTTTATTCTTCCGGAATTTCACAATCCCCAAATAAATATGTTGTTTCATTATCTTGAGCTATCCACAATTTTGAATCAAATGGGTTAACACTTCTCTTCGTTTGCTTTATTCTGTACATTCGATGTCTGTAACTTCGGAGGAATTGAGCAGTTCGTGGTTGATCCTCTTTTCCTTCTAAAACACAGTCCTCGAATATTTTATGTCAAAGCTCTTTCTTGATGAGAGACTTATTAAGACCTTTAGCCTTGATCATATTTTTTCGTGAATTTTCACACACAACACTATAGCATTTCGCACGAACTCCTGCATAGCCAATAGCTCGATCTCCTCCATTCTCATCCTTCCACTTACCTATAACTTTAGTATTTTTTAAGACACGCTCACCTTCATCATTAAGTATCCATTGATCTTCAGGTAAATTTTTTACTACCCAATGGTCTTTAGGATAATCGCTAAAATCAAATAAATCACAATCATCTATCATGTCCTGATAGATATTTTCTGTTTCAATTTCTATTATTAAAGAATCTGTATCTGTATATAAAAGCCTTACTCAATCTCCATATTTCTTTTTGAGATATCCATACCAGAAATCATACATATAATATTTAGAAAGATCGAGAATACATGCTCCTACATATTCAGGTTTATTTAACTTTACATTAGTCTGTCTTCGATGTACAGCTACTAGATTAGCTCCATAGAAAATCTTCCGACTAACAAAGGCAGGATCTGAAATTAGTCTTCGTAATCGTCGTTCTTCTCCTACCTGTCTTACTAAATCTATATTCACTCGTTTTCTTACATCTTCCATAGTTTTTCCGAATACTGAATTATTCATTAATTTCCAGAAGTCTTTTTCGAATGCATTCTTTGCTTTTGCTCGTCGCTGGGTATTCATTGCAATATATGGCTCCATCCATGGAGATTGATCAAATTCTAGAATTCGATATACTTTTTCGAGAATATACCCCTCTCTTACACATTGCTGTAGATTTCTATAATGAATAACGTAATGGTCTTTATCATGTAGAGTTAGTATAAGTTTTTCTGTATCAGGACGTTGATTTCCTATCCATTCTTTTTGCTTTGATCCATACCAATCATATGGTACTTTCATTCGTTCTGGACACATAGGATAATCTCGAAATTTGGGATGCAATTCTTTTGGAATCAATAACTTTACTTCTAAGCAACATCCTCGATTTGATTTTTCTTTTAATAATAAAATTTTCTGCACTAATAGAGAAGTAGCTTCGAGGGGTTTTGTTGATAGCTATTTAAATCCTCCGGTTGGTAAATATTGTGACATTGCCCAACCATATAGATTATTGGCGTCTAAGTAGAGTAACCATTTTTTCGCTTTTTTTCCATTATACCCCTCTAACCCTGGGATATTTGCTCTAGCTAAACGTCGTCTAGCCAAAGACATTCCTCCTCTCTTCATAGCTGTAAAGAAATCATGCATATCTCCTTGATGTTCGTGAAATAATTCTAGCTTAATTTTAGTTACCTTCATACATGCATCCCATGCTAGACCTGGTGCCGTTAAATAATTTGCTGGATCAAGCTTGAATGCTGAATATGAAGCTTTTCGGAAAGCCTCGAATGCATCTGCTAAAATCAATACATCAGTCTTAAGATAAATATCGTGATAATCTCCAAAAGTCTTGCATCCCGTTTCTCGCCAAACTGTCCAGGCAAAGTCATAATCCTTTTGAGATATAGTATAAATTTTCTCATGTTTACATTCTTTGTTTTCACACCCATGCTCGCAATAATTATATCCATCTAAATCGCTATTAAAATCCTTACGTGAAGGTAGTTGTGTTTCATTAAATTTTGTTTTGCTATTTAACCATTGATATGGAAAAATTCCTTTACGCGTAAGCAATGATAACAAATTAGGTGAGATAAATTTTGACATAATTGGAAAACATTTGGCTAGTTGTTCTGGTGTTTTAGTTTGGCCCTTCTTTTCGTCACGTAAATTTTCTGCCATCTTAGCTAAACCAGGTAACGAAAATTTTAAACTATCAATAAATTGAAGCTGACCAACTGAGAAAGTAATATACTGCTCAGAATTATTTGCTATAGGCACTATTTTTTTATCTGTCACTTTTGCTATTTCTTGCATTAGATGATGAAAATCGTAGCCACTTCCATTACATAATAATACTGGAATTTTTATTGTTTCTGGATCGATTCGTAACTTGAGATTACAACTACTATGCATTGCTCCGCGAAATTTTCCTGTAATATGATCATGATCTATTACTCGATTTTTTCCCTCATCTGGTAATTGTGTTTTACAATACATACATTTTTTATATGCATCATGCATTTTCTTTTGTTCGTCATCTAACTTACCTTTAATCATTGATCTTTTTCCATGACATTTTCTATGTGAAGCACCCAAGTATTTTTTAGTTTCAGGATCAAATACACGAATTTTATTATATCCAGCTTCATGTAAATTTTCTTCACATCCCCAACATTTACTTGCCATTTGATATTTTCGCCATAATTCAGGCGTCATTTTTTCACATGGAATTGGAATACGAAGCTTATCTAAAATAACATCTAGATCTTCTTGAAGATTTTCCATTAAGTCTTTTATTATATTTTCTGACTCTCGATTAATTACTGGCTTTTGTGTTGTTCCATCTGAACAATGTATTGTATATCCATATGAAACTGCTTTTTGCTCCGCTATTTTTATAGTATTTCCTTCTTTATCTTTTTCCTCTACTTTGACTTCTTCTGCTTCTAAATCCATACTAATTAAATAAGGCTTCATTAACATATTTTTGATATACTTGGGTTTTACATAATTCTTACCCTCTTCAGGAAGGATTAATCGTTGTGGCGCTTTACTTGCTCCTGTACATGTTGGAATATGCTTTTCTAATAAATCTAGTCGACTATAAGGAAATCGTAAGCATTTTCGGCAAAAGTATTTTTTATCATGATGATTATTCCATTTATGCATCAATCGAGTAAAATCTGTTATAAGAATATAATGTGTTTTAAGTCCTTCAGGTATATCATTAGGATTTTTTCGATCATTTAAATTCTCCTCACTTTCTGTTAAATATAAAAAATCTATCATATGTTCGACCTGATAATTTCGTTCTGAAATATGTAATGGGTCTATATCTACTTTTATTTTTCCAAAAGCTTCACTATAAACTGGTCTAAATATATTAATAGCATAGTTAGGGTTAATTTCTTTGAATTTATCAATATCGTGTAATGTTGCTGGAAATTTTATGCCTTCATAATTTGCTATATTTGCATTTCGTCTAAGTCTACGGATTTCATTAAGATGTGGTGGCTTTCTATTATTTTTTATTGCTTCTTCTCTTATATGATATGCACTTATACACCATTTAAAACACTCATTATCATTACTGTTTTGCGGGTTAATTAATCCTAGTTGAGGTTTATCCAAAGCTTCTGGTAAAGGTAAATAACTACTTCCATGCAATGGTCTAAAAGCGCTTATCTCGAGAATTACCTCTTCTGCTCGAACAAATGACCATCCTGATTCTTGTATTGCTTCATCCTCAATCTGGTCTATAATTTCATTATATCCTTTTTCTATAGTTGCATTGATTCGATCTTCTCTAATAATTTCTATAGTTTCATGCTTGAATGGAAAAGTTTTATATTTAGGTTCTGGCGTTTCCGGTTTAATTTTCTTCATATATGCATATAACACAATTCTTACCTTTAATCCACCCTTTAAAGCTAACTCTCTTTTGTAAACATTAGCAATCTTTTCTTCGATTGATTCAAAGAAACCTAAAGGCTCATTTTCGGTATAGTATCCTTTTGGTACGAATGCATAGTAATCACATACCTCACCTTCATTAAATTTTTCAGCTTCCGATATCCTATTAATATATGGATCTTTGATTTTTTCGAAATATACATCTGGGTCTTCATCAGCTGTATCATATTCTGAATCATTTGGTTCACTATCCTTATCTTTATCTAATTCCATTAAATCGAACCACTCTTTATCTGTTTTAGGTATAAGTTTCGATCTAATTTTTTTATTATTTTTTATTTTAGGTTTTGATAACCACTTTATTAATTCATCTATAGTTAATAATGGACTCTTTTTTTGCTCTATATTATTAGAAGTTAGGACTTCTATATCTGGAATATCACTAGTTAAAAGGTCGACTGCCGGCTCTCTTGCCTCTATTGGCTGGTGCATTGGTGGGTTTTCATCGAATGATATGAGATCGCCCTTT